ACCTAAGACCACGCTTGTCTCCCTGAGCCTGGCCTTCATAATTCCATTCCATCACACATACATGCATTTGCTCAAAATGTCCCTACCAATACAAAATGTCCGAAGAAGTTGGTTGCAAAGACTTCCTGTAAGCCATCTGGAGTGACTGTGTCCTGCTGGCTCATCAGGCCCTCTGCTGTGGTCAGCATTCGAAATACTCTACTGAAAAGAAGACAAGACATTACATTTAATGTTACCAAAGAAAGGATTGGCACCTTTAAGAGATATCAGTACCAAAAATGTTATTTCCTTGCTGTTAAGCATTTGGGTAGAGGCTGATTTTTCCTGTTTTGTTTTTGTAAGAACTGGCAGAATCCTTAACTTGCTTTTCATTTGAAAAATTGCAGAACACTATGATTCTTAAACTTACCATCAGCAGTCCCTGGTGAAGTTTTAGATGTTCTCCAAGACTTGAAAATTACAAAAAGTGGGCCATGAATTCTTATATTTTTCTATAACATACAATGGGCTAGTGGCCTCTACTGCAACTGCTGCTGACCTGAGCTAGCAGGACTTTATTATGTTTTCCTTGCAATGTAAATACTTGCAGATGAACTTTTGGAAAACCTCAAGCCATGTGTATAATTCAAACACTGCTACAGAATTGGACATTGATCAGGAGGACTTTTAAATGCTTTCATATATGAAGGGCAAAGTAGAAGTAAATCAGAAGACGTCAGTTCAACAAATTTCAAGAGCTGCAATTTCTAAAACAATCTGCGTGATACTTTTGATTGATATGGCTATATGTGTACTATGAGCAGGCCGGACAAAAGTGAACTTGTCCTCTCCTGTAGAAGACACAAGGCTAGCTACAACTGTATACCAATGGGAAGAAATTTAAACATGAAAAACAAGGCAGAGTTGATACAGAACACATGGGCAATATACAAGCAGAATGAAGGTATCAGTGCTGCCACCAGAGGGATCCAGTGATTACAATTATCTTGGAGAAGCATCTCTACTTGGTTATTACCCTCACCGGTAAAAATGGGGAAAGACCTACCTTCAAGTTCATCAACAGGACAAATAAGATGAAGGTTGTAAATCACTCTATTCAAATAAAGTTTGTTATATAAAATCAAAGCAAAATGTAGTTCCTATGTCGCACATGAAGTAGCACATACTGGGAAAAAGAGGACTGCTTCAGTTTGTTCCACCTGAGAATGTTCCATCACTGAAGCTAGACCAGGGTGGGCCTGGTCAGTATTGGGATGGGAAACCACCTGGGAACCCCACGTGCGTTGCTCTGAACTCCTTAGAGGAAGAGCAGGATACAAGTGTAAATAAGGTTACATGTTAGACTTTAAGCCACTCTAGCATTCTTCCTTGGGAATACTAGCTCTTGGTATAATCAGGAAAAAAGGTAAGCTTCACAGAATTTAAGTTTTAAAAATACCATCCCTCTAACACCACGGTTTCCCCTCATTTTTAATTGTATGTCTTCCCAGTTTTAACAACAACCTTTTTTGAAAGGGAAGAAAAAAAAAGAAAATGTAGAAAAATGGAATTCATGAGCAGATATAGTTTATGCTGTTTGGTTAATTGAGAAGGCACACAAAACAACTACAGTAACCCTAAAGAACTGCAATACTTTTGATACAGTAATTACATCTAAGAAGTGCTAATGTCAGGACTTTGGGCAAAGGAACTACACCTGCTAAAAGACCTTCCTCTTCTGCACAGATGTTAATGGAGTCAGAATCAGATCTTCTTTTATATGAAATCTACATCAACCTTAGAGAATCCCTGACTATCAAACAATAATGACATTTCTTGTCTATGCCTTCATGTAAAGACACTTCAGATGGTAGTAATTTCACTCAAGGACTAAGTACCCTAATGAAGACCAAATGATAACATGTCCATACAAGACATTTTCAGAGTCTAGGTCACATTTTAATTTTAAAAAACCATTTTTTCTTAGCAGAGTACTTAAAAACAAGGTAAGATAAAACAAAGGGCAAAGTTGCCTCTCAGTGCACAATTGTAAAAGGTAGAAATAAGGATATGAAATACATGACCCAAGAAAGGAACAGATATGCAGGGAACAGTCCAAAATGTGAGAAGATTAGGAAATCTGAAACTTGGTAAGAAAGATTTTAACAGAATGGGTGAAAAAGTAAAAAGACACACACAGGTTTAAAGTGAAAGAAATATGAAAATGGGAAACAGCAAAAGGGAGAGAAAAATTATGATGCTGAATTTATTCTAAATACAAATACTCTAGCAAGACTGGACCATAAAATTAACAAGTTTGTCAGAGAGGTTTCCTATACCTGCAGCCCCAGTGACAAGAGACATCATGTGGCCAAAAAGATAAACAAACAAAATCACCCCACACTTATCTTTCCAAATATTTATTTTTATTGATCCAGCTAAATGTACATGTATCTACCACAGAAACACTTTTAAAATCCATTCAGGAGTTCCAAGAATTAAATCTCGATCTGTCTGTGTACGCACATATATGAACAACTCTGTAGAAGTCATATAAGTAATATTTTGCACTAAGGCTGATGTCTACTCTTTCTCTGACTTCTAATTTGGAAGGAGAAGGATGGTACAAGTCTGTGGCAGAAGCTATATATTCACAACCAATCCTGAAAAAGTTTTGTATCAGAGATTCTCTCAGAAAGGGCAACACCAAAATATGCATCTCCTATCCTAAAACTTTTTCTTAGCAGACTAATCTACCCATAATAGGTCTTCATTGTCATTTGGTGGAATGCTGGGCTCAAAGATTCTTTCCTCTTTATGATCTTTGACCTCGTTCTCTTAAACTTATGTAAAAACCTGAGTTCCTTCTCATCTGTCTGCATGGAAAGAAATATGGAACTGTTCAAGGAGGATTATCTCTTCTGGTCTCCCAGGTTTCTAGCCTGGTGCCTTAACCACTTCAACAAATTGGCTCTCTACTTTTGATTTTTGGGGGTTAGTTAAAAAGTTAGTTATCTCATAATCTCTAGTAAAGCCCTGCAAAAGGAAGAGAGGGGCAGAGGGTCCTGAGACAATAGCGCTATATAATGGCTACTGGAGAAAGTGTCAGATCTGAAGACAAATCTTGGTTAGTACCATGTTGGCATTTTTTGGCCCACACTGTTGTTGTTTCTTGGAAGTTGTACAGGAATAAGTTGGTACTTTTATGAATTAATTTGTCAAATCAATAAGGGATTAATTGATATTCAGGAATATGTCTGAATGTCAAGCTACCAGGAATTTGCCTGAATGCCAAGCTTCCAAGAAAAACACTAAGGAATTTCTGGAAGCTTGGCATTCAGACAAATCAGCCATCAACAGACACAAGGGACTACCAAGGAGACAACCACACCCCCACCAAAACTGGTAGGGCAAACTACTGTATATAAACAGGGAGCAAACTCTACACTCATTTGCACTGATGATTCACCTAGTTGGGTAATGAAACCTCTGCAAGCAAACCACCAAGCTCAGAGGGCATCAAAGACTCCACAAAACAGATAATAGACTTGGGCTTTCTTTAAGTCAGGGCTTTTAAGTTTCTGCCACCAGCATACAGCAAATATCTAAGCTGTGAAAGGTAGAAAGTCATTTTAAAACATGAAAAGAGAGCTTCTAATTTGTGGATGTCCAAAATAGCCTATTGGATATATGTTCTCTAGCAATATTGCACACAAGAAAGGATGAAGAAAAGCCTATGGGTAGCCGTGAATAGGATTCTGCTCTCTACAAAGCAGAAAGTGTCATGCAGCATGGTTCTGGCTCCAAGGAGGGAAATGCATGACCATTGTGTGGATATAATGTTCCTAACACAGGAAATGGTCCCCATGGATGAAGAGTAAGGCCAGATTCCAACCTTGGTTAACCTATCTATTTACTACCCTTTACTGGACTGCATCCTTTCCTTGATTTTCAGAGTCATGCAGAAAAAGAACAACAAATGACACGGCTTATATAATATACCTGGAGAAGAGGCCACGTAAAAATGCCCAGAAACTGACACGTGGATTTACCATGGTCCCAGCATTCAAGAAGAGATAATCCAACTGGTGAAATCTACCAAATGAAGATAAGAGCTGGTTATTGCAAGAAGAAGGAGGCAGTCTCAAAACCCCTTTGCAAAAAAACTGCTTAATAGGGTAGCTTAACTTGGAAGACATAAATGCATAACTAACATAGAAATATAATGTTAGTGTGTAATGTCTGAGATAAAATCATATCTTCCTTGAGGAGGAAGTTCTGGACTAAGTGTTCATGCTCATGCTTAACTGAACTGATTGAGACTGAAACCAGAAGGCTGATGTTAGAATGACTCTCACTGGGCAGGAAGACAACAAAAAAATGTCCCTATGTATTCACATTTAGGAAGAATAGTTTTATCCTCATAACAGGGCATTTAAACATCAATGTCTGAAGAGGAAAAGTCCAGGAAGTTTTACTACTTGATTCTGCCAACTGTACAAAGAAACTTTCAGCCATTATGCACTGGGACTATAGTTCTCACAATACTTTGTCATTAGATATGCTTGTTGGCACTGATGGGGTTGAAGTCCAAAATGTATGAAGGGTATTCAGGTGATCTACTCACATACTACATAAGCACAATGATCTTTGTTACTGGTCCAATACTTGGACCAACAGAAAAGCTTGGACTAACAACTTTTCAGTTAAACTACGGCAGCAAAATGTTTGTCACATACTCCATAATTCATACTCCAGAAGTAAAGAAAAGAATTCTAGGAACTGAAGAAAAAAAATCTCAGCATCAGCCATTTTACATTAGAACCGACTATTGCTTAAAAACTATAATGAATGGATTTGCCTAGACAATAAAAGTAAAATTAGAATTAGTTGCAGTTGCAGGATGCTTGGGACCAGCAAAAAGTATGGTTTGCAACTAAGCCTTTCCCCCACAAAGCCTTTCTCCCATTTTTCTAGCTGCTTTTTTGCTAGCCAATGTTATCAGGTGTTTGCAGAAGAAACAGTGTAAGAACTCCATTGCATCCTCCCACTGCCGTTCTGTGGCTGGTCCCCTAACGTGTATCTACTATCGAATGTTTCAGTCTGGTTTAAAAAAGGTTACTGGTAACCTTAATATAGCTATTGCTCAAGCAATTATTCAAAATTAACTTACTGTAGAAATATGCTACGCAAATATGACCAAGAAGTCGACCCTGGGGAACTGACTGTACAGGATGTACTGAGGTACATAACAGGACAATTCTTTGTAAGACTGCTTCCAGCTACTCATCCAATTGCCCTCCCTCTCCCCATACCTCATCTTTATTTCTTCAGCTGCACAGAAGACAGATTCCAGCCTACCAACGTCTATTTTAATTATGCTGATGTCTGCATGGGGAAAGGAGGATAATAGTTTGTCACGGGTGGCATTGCCTTTCTCCATGTTCCTGCAGGCTAAACAAATATGGATGTTTGCATCTTCCTGGAGCAGACGATCACACAGTGCAGATCCAATTCCACTGCAAGAGTAACAATATATTGTTAAGACCCATCATAGAATATCACTATCAAACCTCTATGAAATTCATTATGCAATAATTGAGAAATTATATTCCCTAATATCTCTTTGTAAACATATACATTCCATGGATACCAAAGTGGTTTTTCTGGAGATGTTAAGAGAGGTTTATGAATTAGCTGTTCTGAGATACATTAGAGTAGGAAAGGTGAACCAGCAGACCCTGAAAGATGTCTTCACTGGTGGACAGAAGGTGGTCTTGCTTTGCCCTCAATGACTTCATTTAGCATGCAGAAGAGGACCTTGGAACGGGATCCAGCTTATAGGTACATTCCTGTCCTCTTCTCTTGTGACAGATAATATCACTACCATCAGTTATGTAGATATGATGAATGTGAATTTTGGGGAGGTAGGACATCATTATAATGAAGAAAAAAACTTATTTATAAGGGATTACCCAATTCGTTGAGTATAGCGAATAAGTATAAGACAGCCAGTTTGGTGTAGTGGTTAAGGTGCTGGCCTAGAATCCAGGAGACTGTGAGTTCTAGTTCCACCTAAGGCATGAAAGCCGGCTGGGTGACTTTGGGCCAGTCACTCTCACAGGGTTGTTGTGGGGCAAAGAGAAGGAGGAAGGAGTATTATGTATGTTCACTGCCTTGAGTTATTTATAAAAAATAATAAAGGTGGGATAAAAATCTAATAAATAAGTAGATCCAACAGACTTGCACAAAAGATTGATCTGCCATCACCATCTTTGGTAGAAGGCTGTTGGTTCATTATCCAAAGAACTGGATATCATTAGAAATACAGACAAATGGGTAGTGTGACAAGCATATAGACAGGCTGCTAGAGCTAGAAAGGAATCACTAATTGTTATGCATATTAGCACCAGTAATATTTGAGAAATATAGCTGTGTCATTCCAGAAGCAAAAAAACTGTTTGGTAGGGAGGATGCTAAAATCCACAAAGTCCAAGATAGCTACCTGCCACCTGTTTCACATATACAGTCAACTAAATTTCCTTGCCAAGGAGACTACAGTGGGAAAGGCAGATCACCAATCCATATCAGACTGGCATGGAGGACATGAGAGATTTGTGGCAGTTCTGGATAAGTAGGGCCTGGAGTGAGAGTATACAGACCATCCTGCTTTCCTGCTACCCACAGGTCTTGCTCTTTTGTTCGATATGGTACAGGCAAAATGGCTTCAAAGCATGGGGCAGAGCTACCTTATTGGTTATAATGTCCTCTAACAAGGTACCTTCACTCTGTAGACTGCACTTGGAACCCTTTGGCCAAAAATTTGCCCTTCTCCAAAGTAGCCTCTGGTTGCAGTTATAGAATAAATTGCCACCATTCTGCCTTGCCTGGTTTCAAGACTAAGATTGCAAAGGCTCAAAAACATTGCCCAAAGCATGAAAAGATTTCTTCTATGGATAATGTATCCCATTCTCTCCCAAGAAGAGATCTAAATGAGATTTTCAAGAGCATCTTGGGAAAGAGATCAGTACCATACGTTCTGGAACCAGGGGTAGGCGCAGCAGAAAAAAGCCTTCCTCCTACCTCTGAACTCTTAGTGTAACTATTTGTCTAGATGGTGGCATATACAATCATTGAATTATACATTTGGAAGAAGTATCTTTTTTTTAGATTTTTTTATCCCCCTTTTCTTATTTTTATAAATAACTCAAGGTGGTGAACATACCTAATACTCCTTCCTCCTCCTA